AATAGCCCTCGGACAGGCTGAGTAAACTGCCAAAGCGTGCACCGTGATCGGCAAAGAATATCATAATTGTGTGCTCCAGCGATCCATCGCTGCGATAGCCCAGCAAATCGCCTAGGATCTTGGGTTCCATGGCCGCAGGCATAAAGCAATCGTCGTGACTGAAGTGATTCGACCAGAGCATGCCCCAAATGGGTCGCTCCGCCACAAAACGTTGCATGAACTGTCTGCCGTAGTCGTAAATATAATAGTTGGCCAAGCGACGTCCATAGCAATAGGTCATATAACACCCGGGACAGTCATAGAAGGGCAATTCTTTTTCAAGAGCCCGCAGAAATGGACGAAAATAATAGTCGGTTGGCTTTTTGGTAAAGCCCGGCTTCAGATACGTGAACGTATTCGATCCACTTTCATCCTCCGCATAGGCCGTCAATTAGCTGGCATTGTGGAAATAATTCCAGATCATGGGCAACTTGTCCAGGCAGCCCTTCACGTCCGTATCGCAAACGTGCTGCTTGGCATATATATATATATATATATAATAACCGATTAACGAATAATTTCAATAGCCAAATCAAAGTTGGCCTTAACTTTGGGCTTGCGTCTTATCGGCAAGCAGATAAGACATACATCCATATATACCTTTCTCTATTTGATTAGACACAAACATCTGATATTTACGCATTCGTCGGCCATAACTTGGTCAGTCGACCAGAACTCTCTGGCTCAAAAATCTCGCAGTGACAAACCCAATTTATATATTTGGCTATAGCATAGAAACAGGCATTTATCTCATATCTTTGCCGGATATGAATTCGAATATCACTCTTTCGGCCCATATATAAAGCCCATAGCTGCCACTAGTTTCTCCTCAAAAACTAAAAAACTTTTTGGATTCAAACGCGTTTTAACAATTTGTTTATTATTTTTTTTTTTTCAATAAATTAAATAATATAATTAAATATATATATATAATAATAAATAATATAAATATAAACAAAATGTCGTAAGTGAAAATGCGTGTGTGTGTATGTGTTTCATATATGTGTATAGAGAAACATAGTGAAAGACCAATAAATAATGTGTACACATAAAGAAATAAAGTGAAAGATCGAGCAACCAATCTTATAAATATTCCTTCTTGATCTTGTTTAATTTTGAATAACAAAAGAAAATTTCTATTCCATAGACTTATTTACACCTAACTAATCCTAAGCGCATTCAAATATTTGTGTTTATCGTTTATTCATTTGTTCCATAAAAGTTTCAATCTATTATTATTATATATAGCTGGTTCCATATGTTAAAACTCTCATGTTATATAGATGTGATTCCATATCGTTATATAATATATAATATCTCATGCATCCAATGTGTTGTATTTATTAATACACATCACACATAGGAGAAGATTGTCATCATAACACATTATAGATTATTAGAGTGATTACCTATGTACATATGTATCATGCAGATAGTATCCAAACTCTGTTATATCATATATCATATATCATATATCATATCGTATATATATATATATATACATAATATTACTATTTATGCGTTATAAAAGTTAGCTACTTGTTACATATTCCCGAACTGTTTACTTCTGATACCATATCGTGTCATATATAGTAACATATGATTACATCATATAAGTAGTTAGTAATATATCCACATCCACATCATACAGCTAAAATCAAATAATTTGTAACTAGGTATAAAAAGTAGGAGATCGTATATTCCATCTCAAATGTATATCGCATCTTAACATATATGAGTACCTATCTCATCATGTAGTAGTCCAATCTATGGGATTTCATACTTTCAATCTTTCATGAACATATCGTATATAATTACGATATATCATATCAGATCACCGTGCTGTGTGCCATATCATACATATGTATCACGTAATTCGCCCTATTTCTTCTATATCTTGGATACGCATAACTCAATTCTAAATTCTGGTTTGCCATTCGCTCAGGGATTGCTGCAGGAAATATGCCGTCGTTTGGATACTGCTGGTGCTAACGATTGTGGGCCTCACGGTGGGCTTGATCTTTGGGCTGAACAACGAGACGGAGCGACGTCGTATTGGTGCCGTTGCCTCCAATGGCGTTGGCTGTGCCGAGATCGGTGGCACCGTATTGGACGAGGGTGGCTCGGCGGCCGATGCAGCCATTGCCACAATGTTGTGCGAGGGCGTTGTGCTGCCGCACAGTATGGGCTTGGGTGGCGGCTTCGTAGCCACCATTTACACCAAGGAAACCGGCCACATGGAGGTGTTGATTGCAAGTGAAACGGCGCCAGCGGCAGCCACGGAAGCTATGTTCGTTGGCCCGGAGAATATCACCGGGGCAATAACGAGTGGTGTGCCCAGCGCGGTCTACGGTTACTGGAAACTGCATCAAAAATATGGCAAGATACCCTGGGAACGTCTCTTTGAACCGACCATAGAGTTGTGTCGACGTGGTATTTCGGTCTCACGCCATTTGGCTAGCGCTTTGGCCAACAATGAGGAGCATATTCGCAATGAGATCTCCATGTCAGAGATCTTTATTAATCCGGCTACTAATGATCCATATAAGGAGGGCGAGATCATGTATCGACATGATTTGGCAAATACGCTGGAAATTGTTGCCATGGAAGGAGCAGAGGTTATTTATCGCGGTGGTCGTATTGGCCGCATGCTCACCGAGGATATAAAGGCCACGGGTGGCATTATTACTGAACAGGATTTAAAAGATTATGAGTGAGTGCAATTATAATTTTGTATTCATTTAGATAAATCGACAAACGAAAACACACTTCCAACGACTAACGCCTGTTAACTAACGTTTAACAACACTATTGCTTTGCTCCGAGAACTTATCGATGTTTGCCATTTGAATTTGTGCTGAAGCGATGTCAGTTTTCCGCGTCATTTGGAATTGCTGTCAAAGAACTGTTATTAAATAATTATGTTATTAATTCACGTATTCATATTTTATAATTAACTGTGCGCCCTAAATGATATTTGTAAACGAAAATAACATTTTCAATTTCAATACGTTGCTGCAATAATTAATCGATAAGCTTCAGTCAGCTTAATATTGCGGTGCTGCCAGACATAGTTTTAAATTTGCAGTTATTTGCTGCGCGGTCATTTGTTATTCAATTCAACTAATTAATACATATTTCCTTTCCACTATAGTGTGCGCTGGGAGAAACCTATACGTGCTCGCCTCAACAATGGGCATACGCTGTATACGTCGCCGTTGCCCAGCAGTGGAGCCGTATTAGCCTTCATCTTGAACGTCATGGAAACAATGTATGTGAGCAGCAGAGACAAGTATTGGCATCGCTTGATTGAGACGTATAAGCATGCGTTTGGGTATCGTACTCGATTGGGTGACATTCACTTTGAGCCCTCGGTGCGGAAGATCTATAAGGATCTAATCGATCCGGAATTTGCGGCTGAGACTCGCAAGCTCATCTTGGACGATCGAACGTTTGAGGACATGTCCTACTACGGGGCCAAATTCAGCAATGTCGAAGATCATGGCACGGCTCACATTTCGGTGTTGTCGCCCAATGGCGATGCCATCTCGGTGACCAGCACAATCAACGGGCCCTTTGGTGCAAAGGTGCGATCCCGTCAAACGGGCATCATACTGAATAATGAGATGGACAACTTCTCGAAACGGGGCCTAAATAATGCCTTCAATATACCCGCCAGTCCGGCTAACTATCTAAAGCCCGGCAAGCGTCCTATGTCCTCCATCTGCCCCAGCATCGTTCTCGACGATGGCGGCAATGTGGCGCTGGTGGTGGGTGGTGCCGGTGGCTTCAAAATAATCGGCTCAGTGGCACAAGCGATTCTCCACTATTTCGTAATGCGCGAGCCCATCCAGGAGGCGGTCAATAACGGCCGGTTGTACCATCATCTGTTGCCCATGGTGATCGACGCGGAGCCGGATGTGCCCAAACATACCATCAATTACTTGCTCAATCTCGGTCACAAGGTCAACATTCTGCCCAAGGATGCAGCCTTTTCCGCTTTGACAGCCATCGGCTACATGGAAGATGAGCCAGAGCCCGTTTGCGATCATCGGCGCATCGGTAGCGCCGTTGTCGTTGAGCCCACCAATGACAATTGAACCGAGATCTCAGCATAAAGCACACACACCTCTATTGATATATATCTCGTATAGCTATCAACTATCTATTATTAATTACAGTTCAAAATAAATTTTATACCTTTGCTATTTATGCACTCATATATGAAGTCTCAGAGCTCTAGCTTAAATATTCACTTAGTTCCATGGGGTTGATGGAGTTAAGGGTATTACGAGATAAAATCGATCAAGAAATGTTAGCGAATAGCAAGAGGTGCGATAAGAACTGACTGTAAAGTTAGAATGTGCTAGTTCTATAAGTGAGAGAGAGAGAGAGAGAGAGACAGAGACAGAGCCAGAGAGAATGAAAGAGAAAACGAGCCTTTGAGGGGGATATGGAGAGAGAGAGTTAGAGAGAAATGTGTATATAGAAAAAGTAAACTCAAACAGAAAGTTGGATAGATATTATAAGAAACAGCTTTGCAGTCGAGTACAATAAAATCGAGAGTGAGTCAAAGAGAGAGATAGCGTGTGCACCAGAGAACGAGACAGAGAGAGAGGGAGAGATAGAGAGACAGGGAACTAATTAAAAAGAGCATACTACAGATCGAGAAATATACAGAAAACCAACTACAGCAGAGAGAGAGACAGAGCCTATATAGAATTTTTCTCTTTACATCCATTCAACAAGGACCCAAAAATTGAGTACTCTATTAGAAGATCATAAAGTGTATGCATATATGTATATGAAGAGCTTGAATGAAAGACAGAGGTTAAACAATGTATCCAAAAGAGATAAATAAAATTCTGTTTATTTTTTAAATTCATCGTGTATATATATAATATATAGACGATAAATATATAGACTATACACTATATATATATATATATATATGTATTACACGCACTTATATTGTTAACAGAAATCGCAGTAGCAAAATAGGCTTTCCATGATAGCGTGATATCATGATTCGTATATAGGAACAACTTACAGTTAGACATGTTGTAACGGGATTTATAAATGTATCAAAAAAAAAAAAAAAAAACAACACAAATTGAGATATTCAATTGGATTGCAAGTGTACACTAAATTTGAGTTTGGCTTAGCAAAAATATGACATGAATATTTACAGTCTAAATTCCTATTTCCTATCTATCCATTTTGCTATGTTTTTCACTTGTATATACAATTTTGGTCTAACACTTAACTACGGCACCGAATTAAGGTAACTAAGATTAAAATAAACGCAGTATTATTATATAACTCAAGAATTGATTAATTAAATTAAACAAGTTAACAAACTTATGGTTAAACCGACGCCAGTAATGAAACAAAAATAAATTATTAACCCAAGGTGCATCTCGGAGCAACAGTTCCAAGCTGGTCCTGGGATTTCGAAGGCATGTCCAGGCTGGTCATCTGGCGTCGGCAATGTGTTGCGATGTGGCGCCTCCATAGTGGCAGGCACAGTACAGTGTTCTTGAGTTCTTGGTAATTTGAGAGCACGAGTGATTTTTTTGTGTTTCTAGTCGTCGATGCGTGAACAACGCTTTTTGGCCATCTTACGCTTCTTGTGCAAGGCCTCCATACGCATATCTTCCAGATCCTCCTGTAAACCTGTAGCCGAAGAAACAGTTAAATCTGGCACATCTGACATCTGTATATATAATCATCATTGGACTTACCTAATTTCTTACTAATAAACTCCTCACGCTGCACTTGAGCAAAGCTGGACTCCATTTCAGCATCATCGTCGTCCATGTCGCGATAGCGACGCTTATCATAGCCAAATATGTCGCGAATATGCGATGATATATCCTCGTTGCAATCCCCATCATCGATAAAGTCAGCCAAATCTGAATCATATTCCGAATCATCATCATCGTAAATGCGACCTAAATGCGAAAATTATATATTTATCATATGATATTATTATGATATGATATTATTATGCCAAGATCAGAGTTAACAAATTTGACCTGTATTTATATACTTACTCTTATACTAATATTATTTAGTATAAGTAGTATACAATACTTAAACAACAGTTTTGACTGAGAACTTAAAACAAAGGTCAAAACTGGCTTAGGAGCTACGAAAAAAAAAGAAGAATAAGAATAAATATAATTGTTCTATGAATTGTATAAATAAATTGAAGTAGACTTGACAACTTATGGGAGTACTTAGGGGAATTTTCTTTGGATTTATCACATATTAAATATTAATTAAAATATGTTTTCTTAAAGCTTACTTAAATTTAAAAAAAATTTGGGTATATTATTTCAAGAATTTCCACAAATAAATCCTCAACTTGGGTAAATATTGATTACACTTACGTTTGTTTGCTGTTCCCATTGGCTTGCGTCCTGCTGTCGGTGGTGGACGACCGGCTCCAGTGGCTCCTCCCGATCCGATAGGTTTACGTTGGGCGGCGCGCTGCATATCCGCCGGTGGAAATGCACGAGTTTTGGATGCATCACGAACTTTGGATAGGTCACGGTTCTTGGGTTGATCACGACGTGATTCACGAGTTTTGGATACGTCGCGTGGTGGAAATTCGCGAGTTTTGGATACGTCGCGTGGTGGAAATTCACGAGTTTTGGACAAGTTGCGTGGTGGAAATTCACGAGTTTTGGATAAGTCACGAGCTTTGGATAAGTCACGAGTCTTGGATAAGTCACGAGCTTTGGATAGATCACGGCGCGCCACTTCACGGGAACGGGATAGATCACGTGGCGGAAATTCACGTGTCACTCCACTCTTATTGGCAGCAGCATAAGGATTACGAGATTGAACAGTTGCATTGCCCTTGGCAATAGTCAGAGAAGCTGAAGCAGCAGCACCGGATGCTGCAGTACGCTTGGCAGCATTGTTGTTGTTGGTGCCATTTGTTGGCTTTGCATTGGCGCTGGAGCTGCTGGGCCCTGGCTTCTTGAGGATATCACTAGATTGCTTGACTTTGGACTCAGCTGCAGGAGCTGCAGCAGCACCACCAGCACCAGCTGTGGGTGGTTTATTCAGCTTTGGTATGCGTCCATTGAGGGCCATGCGACCTGGCTGATTGGCGACGCCATTCTCTTTGCGCTGCTCCTTGGCCTTGGCTTCCAATTCACGCTGGCGGTCGCGTTGAGCGCGCTGCTCCTTGTACTTCTGACGTTCCTCAAGCTCGCGTTTTTCACGAGCGGAGAGCAGACGCTCCGGCTCCTTCTTCTCCGGAATGGCAATGTTGACCGGCTCATGCTGCTTCTGTTCGGCCAGACGCAGCAACGTCTGAAAGTCCATGGGCGGTGGCTGTGGGGGTCGCTTGACCTTGGCCTTCTTCTGCTCCTCCTCGCGCTTCTTGCTTTCATCTTCACGGCGCTCGGCCTCCGGATCATAGAGTTTCTTGTCCCCAGTATTGTTAGGGCGCACTACCGACGAGTCCCTCTCACGGCGAGGAGTAGCATTGCTGTTGCGTTGGCGTGTATTTGATTTAGCCTCCTCGCGTTCGCGTGTGATGGCCGCCTTGACGCGTTCCTTGGTGCCAGACAGATCGCGCACAGATTGTGGACGGCTGGGCGCAAAGCCCTTATCCTCCTGCACGTCCTTCACCTTCTCAATGTATTTCTGATAAAAGGCGTTGGCTTCTGTCGACACGTAGCCATAATCATCGCCCTCCGGCTGATCAGCACCGTTCAGTGCCGAATTATCACAGTCCTTGGCATCCTCTAGCACCGATTTGTTGGCTGATTTGGTGACTTTCAGCATTTTACGTATTTTGTTTTTTGACTTCTCGTCACGCATGGCCAGCAAATTGTTCAGCTTCTCGCGCTCCTGGCGCTTGCGTTCTATCTCCTCAGCTTCGCGTTTCTTTAGGAATTTTTGTATATTGGTGGACAGCTGTTTGCTTTCCTTGGTTTCCTTTTTAGGTGGAGCGTACTTAGTGCTATAATATTTTCCCTGTTGGTAAAACATAATAAAAATAATAGAAGACCGTTAGCCACTGTTAATGGGTGAGATTATCTGGTCCACCACCCACGAAAAGCAACAGATCTTATTTATCTATATGTTGTTTTGTTATTTTTTTTTCTTTTTTTGGTCATCGATGACCCAATTGTATGATCGAAATGCATATTGTGAATGTAAACATATTGCAACAGTTCGCCGTGGTTGTTGCACCTCGTTATCCATATGTAACCGTGCGTTGTTTACTGTTTACTGGCTGTTATCATTATTAGATGTCTGCATTTTACCCGTATTTGAAGTTTCTAAATTTGTATAGCGAAAGCGTTTATAAACTTACTTCATCTTTAGTGGCTGCATCGTTGTTCTTCTTGGCAAAGTGCAACAGTGCACCGAAATCCATATTGGTTTTGAATTAGAATTAAATTTTCGACTATTTTTTGTTGATTTGCTTTTCAAAAGAATAAAAATCGTTTGAGTTGAAATTCTTTGTTCGAGACGTGTGTCGTTGTCAGCTGAAAACTCTAGAAACACTAAGGGATAGTGATGCTACGAGCGTCGACACTTGATGGCGATGAATCACAACAAGTATTTAACAAGTAGTAGTGCTAAAAATATCGGTGTTCGTTAGTGATGAGCACGTGCTATCGCAAATATGTAAAAATTTACACACATTGCATATACATTGCATGTCAAATCAAATTGATGACGTTGAATATATTAGACCTTAATTTTACCCTTCATGTATCGGTTTTATAACGGAATATTAAGTCGATACACCTTGCACCTGTACAACCGTATCGCTTGCAGACGATAATTTGATCGATAACGATTAATCTAATTATTTTTATTATTTTGATATGAAATGAATTTATTGCTGATGTGTTGAATGCATTTTGTATAAACAAAATAGAATGCATTAACAAATATATTATAAAAAAAAAATGCAAGGCATTAACTCATATATTAGTTGTCTCGTCAGCTCAATCACAGCCTATTTAAATTTTGGCGCTTGCCAGTGTTGGTAAATGTCGAATGTAATCGACATATCTAACTCTTATTTCGTTATTATTGTTTACATCACAACAGCCACAATGAGCGCCTTAAAATTAATGTACAAATTATATGCCAATGCCGGTAGAAGTAGTTTAGCAGGCGCCACACGTTTGCTGCATCCTACACACAGTTCTGTCCAACGTCATTACCATTTGCTGGCCATAACAGCTTTACCAAATAACAAATACACGTGCCTGCAGCGCGCATCCTTCAGCGATCAACTCGAGGCAAAAAATGTAAATATAAAAATATATGGGCAATGCCACTATATACTGATATATATATATGCATCTACTACAGCAAGATGAGCACAATAAGCGCGTGGCCACCAATAGTATACCACTGGCTGAGCTGCAGACCAAGATGCAGCTAATCTATACGTGCAAAGTGTGCCAGACCCGAAATATGGAGACCATATCAAAGGTGGCCTATAATAAAGGTGTCGTTATTGTCACCTGCAAAGGCTGTGCGAATCATCATCTAATTGCCGACAATCTTAACTGGTTCACCGATCTCAATGGCAAACGGAACATTGAGGAAATACTGGCCGAGAAAGGAGAATACGTTACAAAAATTGTCAGTGATAGACACGAATATTTGCCAAATAATTAACGAAAAGAAAAGAGATGTAAATTCAGTTTAGCTGTAGACGTAAGCAACTTTATTGAGCAGGTCCGTGAGCTGCGCGAGCACCGGCGACGGCAGCGACTTTAACTGCCCATAGAATTGACTGCGACACGGCGATTTGGGTTTGAGCAGTAAATGTGTCAAATAGAGCATCTCATCCAGTGGTAGTTCCATGGTGGAGCACTGCATATCATCCAGCTGTAGATGTTGCAGCACTCGCTGATGCTGCCAATAGTCTTGCAAATAGCTGCCCAACGCGCCAGCGAAGCGCACGTGCATGAGCCAGCAGTAGAGCCGAGAGAGATTGCCAGAGCCGCTGTCGCTGGCAACGAAATTGTAAATGTTGTGTACAAAACAAACGCTGGCCGAGCATGCTGTGCCGCCCTCGTTCAGCATATCACAGATCATCTGCCGTAACATATAGCAGCGCGTGTATAGCAGACTCTCTTGTGGCTCACGGAATAGTTGCAGCCAGAGATCACAGTTTCGGATGAGCTGCATGGAACGGGCGAGTGCTATTTTAATGTCCTGCATTGTGCTTAGGCGGCAGATGCGTCGCACCAACTGCCGCATTTGCAGCGTGTGGACATTTAGTTCCATTGCTGTCGCAGCGTCCAACGTCGTATTGTTAGCTCTGTTCCTGGCTATGGCTGACCAATCCATATCTTTGATTATAGACCACTCCGGCTGCAGTTCCGCATATGCCTTGTGCATTTGATATAACAGTGGCGCGTGTATGTGGCCATTGCGCGTACCGTTGATAATGTTGGCGCATAGCTCCTGGATGTACTGTTTACGATCTGTTTCAATGATATTGTAGAACTGTCGTATGCTCGCATGCGCTTGAATGCATTGCATAAGCACAGCCTCTACCAGTTTGTCACCATGCTGGGCGTGGCATTCAAATAGATATAATGTCGCCTTAAACATGCACTCGATGTCCGTGTGGCTGAGCTCAAGATGTTTTGGCTGTCCCACTTGCATTTGCTCTTGGCAATCGAGTAGCCAAAGAATCAGCTTGACGGAATGCTGTGCAGCTTGATCTAACGTTAAGTCACTGTCCACAGTCAACTCATTTCGGATATACGCATCCATTGTTATACATTTCCTTTTCAAATGGTATTTACATTAAATTCTTAATTTCTGCAGATTCTGTTAACAGTCTTTAGTTATCGATATCGTTTTGATCCTATTTAACAGTTCTGTTAACCCGATTATTACTCACAGTGCTGCCGCATATTTAAGAGCGAGCCTTTTTGAAAGAACTACGGCCCAACTCTCTTAATCCAAATAAGTTCAAAGATGTTCACAAAAGACTTTTGTATTTTTTTTTTTTTTTTAATTTATTTTAATATATACATACATACATATATATATATATTTATATATATGTAGAGTTCGCCAATAATTTATTTCTTAGGCTCTGTTGTTCTTTAAACATAAGATACAACATGAAATATATAACGTAAGCTTATAGTTATATCAAATACATCTATGCCTTTCCGATTTCCTCTTCTTACTCGTGCATATTTCATTATTTTTATAGTTTTTCAGTTATATTTTTAATTTTTTTTTTTTCTATATTATATATAAACAAGAATCAAAGCGTAATGTGCATGTTTCGCATTTGCTTTGCTTCATACATATCCATATCTGGGGAATATGCTTCGACTTAAGAAAATAGAAATACATTAGTTATATTTTTTTTCATATTAGTTTTACTTTTTTTCCAAATACCGATCAAAAAAATAATAAGAAAACAGCTTTGAATACATTGATGATGACTGATACTTTTTTCTCTCTCCTTTCATCTCCATATTGATGAAATTTGTTCATCTTGTGTGCTTCATCATGTTTTACTGTTTATCTTCGGCTTCATTCATTGCCCTATTATTATTTTTGAAAAATTTTGAATATATATATAAATATGTATATATATAAATACATATACATTTATATATATAGGTGCATATATAAATATTTATATATATACGTATTGTATATAATATACGCGCGAAAATTAATTATTATTTTAACATGTTTCATTTTATAATATATATAATATATATATATACACATATATATATATACCATATAGCTAGTATGTACTATATATATATACATATATATATAAACATATATATATATTGGTTGGTATTGTTGTGGTTAGAGCGCTGTTATTACGCATTTGTTGTTCTTCTAAATAGTTTTCTCCGCAGTAATTTTTTTTTTTTCATATAGGAATTCTTGAATTTAAATGAGTGTGCGTGTGTGTCTTTGTGTGAGTGTGATGAGTATGTTTGTTTGCAAGTGTGAATTTAGTTAATTTCTTCATTTCTATTTTCGCTTGATTTAGGTATCTATCCTTGGACGGCACAGCTTAAGCAAAGCCAAAGCCCTCTGAGCACTCGTGTATGGCCTTGAGCAAACAGCTGCGCAGCTTATCATACGACTTGTACATGGGCAAATCCAGTTGGTTAAAGCTGCAAGAATAGTCGAGTATTAATATCGATATGTATGCATATATGATCAGTTCGAGGCACACTTACCATGTGTGAGCGCATGGCAAACGATCTGTGGACCGATCATCGCGATGAATTTGGAACTTTTGTATGCCATTCATGCCTTCTAGGGAACCGAAGCCCTGCAACGGTACCTTCGAGGTGCCAGTGACAAACTGTAGGAATTTCGCGCGGTCTGCTTGATCGAAACTGCGCAAAGCACGCCAAAACCATTGAATCTACAATGTAAAGCATAGAGCACGGTTAGTACATATAAATCTATAGTGGGAGTATATATGATAGCGCACCTGAGCCGATTTTGATGTGTACTTGTGGTACTCAGTGTTTGCCTTCAGATCTTCAATATCAATATCCGGCAGTCCGGATATAAGAAGCTCTAGTTCCTGCTCGTTAAATATAGATATTAAATGCTTTGGAATTATATCGTAGAAGCCTTCAAGGAATGCGTCCAATCTGCAACGAAGCGAATAGTAAAGGTAAATATCAAATTTGAATTGCTGTCGTTTCGCAACTGATTGAAATTAGAATCCCACTACTCACTGCTGACGTATGGAGCCGCTCATCTTTAGCTGGCAAACGAGTTGAACATATTCAAATTTATTTTCCTCGGTGACGGCAATGTCGCGCCCATTTGGCTTGAGATCACGGATTTGTGTAACGCCAAACTCTTGCACCTCTGTCGAAAAGGTTAACTCGTAGCCAAGCGTTGATATATCATTTTTCATCAGATAGTCCAGCCCCTTGTAGAACTCGTAATCCTGCGATTCCATATCAGTATGCTTCACCTGTTTACCCAGGATGTGTTTATAAAACGAGCGTGTGAAATAGCACTCCAGTAGTTTATTATCGTGCACGGCTTTGGCTGTGGACAACCAAAAAGAAAGAGAAAGATGGTATGAGCTTATGGAAAGACAAGAGGGAGAGAGAGAGACAGATAGAGATGGGACATATTACTTACCTATGACGCGGCCGACAAACTTAAAGTAGCTCAAATGATTGGGATTCGCATGACTCGATGGATTTATCATATAGGTAACGCGATCGCCCGGCGATACGCAGAACAAGGCATACATGGGATTAAAGATCTCTCGCGATATTATCACATACCATTCACGGAGCAAGCCGCCAGCATCCTGGCCCTCCTCATCTACAATGGCAAACGATTAAATTCAAGTTTCCAGCTGCCTTAGTCTGGATGACTCACCCTCGAATACAATATAGAAGCGATTCTTCCATTCCTCGGGACCCAGACGATAGAGCACACGGAATGAATCCTCAAATACGGTAACACGCCGCACGCTAACTGTATGCTCTTCGCGGCGTATGCCCTCGTCCAGTCGTTCCAGTTCGGTTTGGAAGTACTTACGCTTAACATCAAAGTCGAGGATACGTGTATGATCGACCAATACGGCGAACGGGCCGTCGGACAGATGTGTGGCCGACTGGCGTAATATTTGATTAAGCACCGTGCGATGTTTCTCAGCGAATTGTAAGAACTTTTGGCGATCTTGCTTCAGTTGGGCCTCGTGGGCGGTTAGCGCCACCTGCTGGCCAGTAGCAGTACCTATGGAGCCATCCTGCATGCGGGATTCATCTGTAAGGCAAATGATAATCGATCAATTTGTATTGTATACGCGTAAAACGTAAAGTTCCGCTTGACGCACCTTCAAAGCTATTCGAAGTCTGGGTCTGACTGCTGTTGCTGTTGGTGTCGTCCAATTGTGGCATATGTTCGGTCAATGGGTGCGGAGCAACGCGCAATCCCGAGCCGCTGCTGGCAGCAGCTGCTGCGGCACTGCCGCCGATACCGCCACGTCCGGGCTTCCTGGGTGTTACGCGATGCGAAGCGTGTATGAGAAAGAAGGCCTCAACAGTCGGCTGCAGCACCAGCACGGCAAACTCATCCTTGGACTCCTCCAAGGCCACCAGGCACTCGCTCAGCGTGTGCCATAACACGTCCAGGCACAGAATTTGGCTGAGCGTCGGCTTGGCAGCTGGACTCTTGGAGCCATCACTGCCGCTTGATGTCTTTTGGTCGGTTTCCATGCTGTCGCTGCTAATGCCACTTGCGCCAGCACCTGCACCAGAGGCAACTGTTGCTGTTGCGCCTGCATCGCCAATGATGTCAATGATCTCATCAGTGTCGTCTGTCGGAGTATTCTGCATCTCGTACATGTCGCGCACCTGCATAAATATCTTCAGCGTGCGCAGGAAATAGGGCTGGGCCGACGAGTTCGACATTAGCTTCTTCATCGATGGCAATTGCAGCTCACAGGTTGGCTTGGCATTCTTTGGGGCCGATATGATCACCGATTCGGATGTGAAGCGATCCTGCATCGTGCCCTCGTGGACGGTTAGATTGGTTAGCAAGGCAGCGCCGCCGCCGCTGCTGCTGCTGCTACTATTGTTGTTGTTATTGTTGTTGTTGTTTGTGTTCGAGCTAGCGCTACTGTTATTGTTGTTATTGTTAGTATTATTGTTGTTGTTGCCAGTGGTGGCACTGGTGCTGGGGCTGGCGCTGGCGCTGGCGCCGACGATAGTGTTGCTCGTGCCCGGCTTATTAACGTCCACCGTATGCTGGCCAAGTGTATTGTATGCTCTGATCTCGTTGAGCAGCGTCTGTATGGCTTGACGCACCTCCTCGGCCAGGCCGAGAATGGCGGCGGTCAAGTACTGTATAAATATGGCATTCGATGCCTGGGAGCACTGCGTGAGATTCACTATCAATTTAGTAACGTTATCTAGACCTTCAGTGGTGCCGCACTGGTGGGTCAACACCTCAATCACCAGTTGCAGCTGCGAAAAGTTCTTGGCATAGATTTTGCGACGCGGCTTCTGCGACTGGACGGCCGACCATGGCGTTGCTGGGTGTGGCTTTGACCTTTTACCGCTGAATGCATCTGCCGGCAACATCATGTCGTCAAGCTCATCGTCACCATCATCGTCCTCCTCGTCGTCGTCGTCGTCGTCGTCGCCGTCGTCGTCGTCGTCATCGTCCCCGTCATCATCTTCGTTGTCATCATTGGTTGCACGATTGGGAGTCGCACGTGGCTCTGCCTCATCCTCCTCCTCCTCGGTGTCGTCCGAATCATGTTCAGCATGTGCAACCAGCTGCGGCAGTGGGCGTGGTTGGCCGCCCTGACGCTGCGCTGCGCTGGCATTTCCGGCAGCGGACGCAAATTGACTGAGCGGCACCAGGGCCGGCAATTCATCATCAAGATGCTGTGTTGACATCTCCTCATCCTGCTGGGGCATTTGCTCATCCTGTTGTTGTTCTTGCTGCGACTGTTGCTGTTGTTGTTGTTGCTGCTGGCGCTGTTGTTGCTGCGGTTGGCCTTGTTGCAGTTGTTGTAGGGGCATCGGCTCCTCCTCCTTGGGCAGATCAACGCTCAGCGAGGCCAACAGTTTGACCAGCATGTCCGTCAAGTGCGGCGAACGACAGATGACCTTGTACGGCAGCATCTCCAGCAGCTGCCCAAATGGTGAGTCAGTGAAGGATAAGAAGTCGCTAGTGTTGCTCTGCCACTTCCAGGGCGGCTGCGAGATCAGCGGAAACTGCGAGACATTGGCCAAACGCACTGGCGTCTGCCTATCAATGTTGAGCACCACATCCCAGAAGCTGTGCGCGTTGGTCTGATAGGCGACAGTGGTGCCGTCATTGTTGTTGTTATTATTGGCAAATGGTGGCGGCTTAGCAGCGCTCGCCGCTGCCTTGGCTGCAGCGGCCTTCGATGTGGACGGCGCCTCATCCAGCGGCTGTGCCCTGGATTGCTGGGGATGCGATTGCTGATGCTGTTGCTGCGGTTGACCCTGAATTTGGGCATCCAGAATGCCGCGTATACGACTGGCCATTTGATAGCGATGGTAGCGTGAGCGGAAATCGTCGTTTCCTGCAGCGCCCACTGCCTCATCCAAGCGCGACGAGGCACCGGCATTGGGCATGCCGAAGACATAGTTGAGCATGCGGTTACGCGACTTTGGCTCACGATTGTACGGCAAGAAGCTGAATGGATAGTGTTTGGCCAGGACGAACAACAAGTCAAGGCAGTTGCGCACAATCATTTGGGCTGCTTGCGGATTGATGCTGATGCTGCGAGCGCTGCCCTCGTACAGGCGATTGATTAGGAATATGTTGCTCTTGTACCCGAAGGCGGCATCGACGCGTAGCTTCAGCCACTCGGGCTTGCTGCCCGAGTTGGCAACACCGAAATTTGAATTATCCTCGTTTGTCTTCTGTATAATGCTAATCAGGGCCTTGATGATCCAATCACGTGTCGGCTCATGGTGGCATAGGTTGCGTATCACACGGTGCAAGCGCACGCTGTTCACCTTCTGATCCTCCACGAACAGGAACAGCAGCAGCGTGGCCAGTGAATCCGGATCGAGCAGTATATTCTCATCCTCCATCATCAGCACGGCCAGCGGCTTCCCTGTATTCGGCGCAATATGATGATGATGGACAATTGTCGTGTGCTGATGATGTTGCGGCTGGGCGTTCCCGCTGGCATCATACCAGATGGCGCTGTGCCAGCGTGCCTCATCCAAATTCTGTAGCGTAGACTGGAAGCGAGCTGCAAGGGTAAAGGTTTCAATATACCACACTTGGATCTAGGCATTATCTATATACTCTTCGGGGGGATACTTACAGAGCGCATTACTCGGTGGATGGGCGTCCATGCGAGTGCCGTTGCGTGACTCCCAGTCGCGACGCAGGAACTGTGCCTCAGCCGCCAGCTCCGGCGGTAGGCTTGCTATCTGTGACTCCTCCATATCAGTTAGTATCTGTGTGGGGGGAATCAATAAAAGTCATATATGGGGACCACGGAATATCATTCATATCGACTCACAGTTTGACGCAAATTGTCGGGTAAATTCTGGAAGAATGCAGCAGCATCGACTGGATCATCAGGATTTGCGCTCTGCGCCGCCTGACGTTGCTGTTCGATGCGCTGCTGCATTAGCACCTCGGACTGTATATTGGGCGGCAGCGCGGCTAGGAATTCGGGATTCACTTCGACCAGCGAATCGTGGGCAATCTGTATGGCATTTTGTTGGGCACGCTGGCGTATGCGCTGCATGCGTAGATGCTCCTGGATCACCTCTTCGCGCATCTCGCTGGGCAATGCGGCCAGGAAGGATGGATCCACGCCCTCGGGCACTTCCAGGTCGCCCAATGCGGCACGCACCTCTGGACTCATGTCGGTGACAACGGCGGCGCTTGCTGTGGCACCACCACCACCACCGCCACCAGCAGCAGCACCACCACTGCTGGTTGTAGTTGCAGTCGATGTAGTAGCAGCTGTAACTGCAGCTGTGGCTGCGGCCAACACTGAGGCAGAGGCTGACAAAGCAGCTGCAACAGCACTGTCCAATCTATTGGTGGCCTCATTGTCAGCCGCTTCGTCGTCGGCGTCGGTTGATGTGCCAAAGTCCAGGCTCGAGCTCAGATTTGATCCGGGCTGCCGGTTCCTGCGACTGCGCAGCTCCAAAGTGACGTTGGGTGGCTCCAAATCGGGCACATCGGGCAGCGGCTCTGCCTCGACGGCGGCGAGAACAGCTGCGGCCACGGCTGAAAGATTTTCACCGCTGAGATCTGGATAGGGGTCCACTGCATCGCCCAGATCCGAGTTGAACAGACTGGCGACATCTGTGTTATTCGCGAAATCTGACTCGTAATCGTGCTCAGAGTCGGGCTCCGGATGCACAGCTGGGATGTGTTCCTGTTGCTGCTGCTGCTCGTGCTCCTGCTCCTGCTCCTGCTCAAGTGGCTGCGGTTGCAGCGGTGGTGGCGGCGGCGGCGGATCGGGGAAGTTCAAGTCGCTGGGTATCAATTCAAGTGGGAAAATCATGTTTGCCGATTCGCGCCAACGGTCTTCATTGCTCTCAGCTCCATCCTCGCCATTGAGACGTCCAGACAGCGGGACACGCTGCAAGCGAGCGGCGGGCATCTCCCGACTGGTGCGACCACCACCGGCGGTGCGCGATGTGTTGGCAATAATATTGTTGTTGCGACGCGTCGAGTTCTGGCGCGAGTCGTTCATCTGGAAAGAGCAGGAGAAACACAGAGATATATAACATATGCGATATATATATATATATACATGATGCTAATATATTCATACATGGAACTCCATGATGTCTGGCGCTTCGGCGCGAGTTCGCGTGCGCGATGGCCGCCCGCTGCTGGGCAGATGCGGCATTGGTGGATGACGTGGCGGTATGCCAGCACCCATGCCCGATGCCGGGCCCTGTGCACTGGGAAATAGCTGGGGCGGTGCCTGCTGCTGTGGCTGCGACACTGACTGCTGCTGCTGCTGCTGCTGTGCAGTCTGTTCTGGTGGACTTACCGAATCCCGATCATCGGTCAAATCAATCTCGGCATATATATTGTAGAGCGCCTGATGGCGAGCGCCATTGTGGCGTTGTCGCGGACGACGTGGCTCCACGCTGACAGCTGGCAAGAATCAAAATAATTATATATAATATATGTATGCCAACAACATATTAGAGGGCGCACTTACCAGGTGCAGGAACTGGAGCTGCGGCTGGAGTAGCAGCTGCTGTGCTGGCTGAGGCAGCGGCTGCATTATTGCCGCTGCCGCTGCCGCTGTTGCTAGTCGTGAGAGTGGGCGGTGCCGTTGAGTTTGTGGATGGCGCCGTGGGCAGCGATGCGGCGTTCACGAATTGCATCGATGGAATCAGTCTGGGTATGGAGCTGCGGAAATTGTTGCTGGCTGAGCCTGGCGTCGATGCTGTGGTGGCCGCCGCTGTTGCTCCAAATCCAGCTAGTTGTGCAGACGGTGGTAATGGCGGCGGAGCCAATACACTGGAGCTGCTGCTGCTGCTGGTTGTTGTCGATGAGGAGTTTGTGAGCCAACTGTTTACGGCAGTGGCCGCGGCACTTGTCGCATTCGTAGTAGCGCTGCTTGCAGCTGCGCCCGATTCACCAGCTATGCTGGCAGTCGAAGCAGCTGCAGTTGTGGCATTCGATGAGGCAGAGGCAGCACTCAGAGCAGCTGCAGCCGCTGCTGCGGAGGCGTCACGATTGCGCAGCTGATGAGCCAGCTTGAGCTCTTTGATCAGGTGAGGCAGCAGAAAGTGTGCCGCATAGAGGCAGGCATCGGTTTGGCTCTCCATGTCCAGGGCTTTGGCCTCCTCCAGCCACCAGTGCAGAGCTGCGGAGTGAAAGAGAATGGTCAGCTCGAAAGCTCTAGAAGATTTCAGATCAGGCACTCACCATCCTGTGTGAACATCTCCATTTGTGTCTCTTCGGTCGGATTCTGGTGCGTGGGCATGCAGACGCAGTACTGCTGGTCCAGGTAGAGTAGACGGCGTCGCACACCAGTGTTGCACAGCGAGGAATTGTTGGGATGGCTAACAGCCGTATTCGAGCCGCCGCCAGTGCTGCCGGTGCCGGTGCCGGTGCCGTTGGCGCCGGTGCCATTGGCGCCGGTGCTAATCACTGCCGCAGTCGGCGGTGCTGTCGATGGCTGCTCGTCGAGCAGATTGCTCATGTTCGTATTGTTGCCGGCACCGCCGCCAGCATTGCGTTCCAGCTGCACCATGGCCGGCGGCAGGAATCCATTCACATTGACATCTCCAGGATTGGCGGCATCCGTGCCAGAGCTGCCGCGCCCAATGAAACTGAAATCGGGCGCCATCCACGAATCGGATGAGGAGCGCAAGGCGGCTGCCACCGAACTGGCACTCGAGCTGTTGCGTCCAGCAGCTGCTGCTGCTGCTGCCGCCGCCGCCGCGGACGACGACGAGGCGCCGCCATTCACATCTATGTCCAGGGGCAATGCAATCGAGCTATTCATGCGCACGCGGAAGTTCGATGGCGGCTGTGGCATCAGGTGTCCATGTCCGTGGGCGTGGGCGTGGCCACGTAAAATCTCACGCATTTGTGCCGTTTCGAATCCGTCGGCGGCTTCGTTCAGCTGATCATAGAGGAACACACTGGCCTCACGCGCCGACTGATCCAAGCCATTGCCACTGACCGCACCATGGCCACCATTCGGTTCGATGGCGGCGCTGCGCCGTGGCCGATTGTTGGAGTTGGCTGCGGCCGAGGTGCCCGAGCTGCTGCCGGTGCCGTTCACTTGGGCGAGAACTTCGTCGATGAGAGCCGCATCGTCGGCATTGCGTGCACGCGTGTCCTCATCGTCGTCCTCATCGTCGTCGTCGTCATCCTCGTCGTCGTCGTCCTCATCATCCTCGGCATCGACGTCGGCATCATTGGATGCTGTCTCGGACGACTCCGGCTCATAGATATGATCAAATACTTCAATATATTGGCGCGGACGCTCCTCATCCACATCGGTTTCGCTATGCTCGTCCGCCTCCTCATCGGCGGCCTCATCATCATCGTCATCGTCCTCCTCCTCAGCGTTGCGTTCGTCGTTCTCCGTGGATGCTTCCGAGTCCGATTCACTGGAGCTGACGTCGCCCAGCATCGATGCATTCATGTCCCGTGCGGTGCGTGGTCCACCGCCAGCGCCGCCACGTCCACCCACACTGCTGGCGCTGGCCACTCCACTGCCATGGCCAGCAGCACCACTGCCGCCGTTGCCGTTGCCGCCGCCGGTATCTGATGAAGTGGAGGCGCCATCGCTGCCACCCCCACCACCGGCGCCGCCGCTGGCGCTTCCGCTGCCAGTGCCATTGTCGTTGACGGCGCCGCTGCTGCCATTGCCACTGCCATGGCCACCGGTGCCGTCGACATCCACGTCCGAGTTGCTGCTGCGACGCATGCGTGCACCGCCGCCGCCAATGTTGCCAACGGCCGAGCTGCTGCCCGACGAGCTGGCGCCCATGGCCTGGCCAGAGCCAGAGCCGCTGCTGCCGTTTTCAGTCGCTTCGCCGCCAGATCCGTTGGCGTTGGCACTGCTGCTGGCGTTGCCGCTGCCGCTGCCACTGCCGCGCGACGCCAGGAAGAGGCCCTCGCACTGCAGGAAATCGTCCCAGAGTTGATCGAAATTGAGCACCGGACGCACCGCTGAGCTGCCACCAGCTGCGCCGGCTGCGGGCGGTGGTGGTTCGGCGGCCTCGGCGCCGTCGCTGCGTTCGTCGCCTACATCGATGGCGGCTGCATTGTGATTGCCGCCGATGATGCCGGGCCCGCCGCCGCCGCTGCTGCCAGTGCCCGAGCCCGAGGATGGCTGCGGTGCCGAGTCCTCCGAGTCCACGGCCATCTCGTCCGAATTGAATATGAACTCGAATGCATGACGACGATCGGACAGCACATTCCGTATGATATCGCGCAGCACATGCTCACCGCTGCCCGAGCGCTCCGGACCGGCGTTGACGGTGCGTGCCGCCAGGCGTGGATACAGGCGACGATTGATGATCGCGCTAACTGTGTTGCCTCCGCCGATGCCGTTGGCATTGCTGCTGTTGCCATTGCTGCCGCCATTGCCGGCCGAGCTGGCGGCGCCGAAGAGGATGCGTTTCGAGCCCAGCGCTGATGTTGCCACATTGAAGCGCAACAGAATCTCCATGGGGCGCAAGATGGCGCCCAGAGTGCTCAACGTATTGTGATTGGACAGGTCCTTGTATTGGGCCACCTTGGTCAGATAGGTCATCACGCCCTGGCGCAACAGCACCCGGTACATTGTGTTCCGATGCATGTGCACCTTATCGTACAGCATGGGCGACTCGATCAGGTTGGGGAACAGGCTCATCAGCACCTGCAGACGTGTGTGCTTCTCGGCCGAGTCCGGCTGGGCTAGGGCGCGCGCCACCGCCGCGTGCAGCTCATCGGCGACCATTTGCTGCACGCTGGCCTGCTGATAGCAATCCGAGAGCGAGCAGATCAGCACGCGCGCCATTGTGCTCACCTCGGAGACATGCTGGCGCTGGGTCATCGGCAGGAAGCGATCCAGCATCACGGCCAGGAAGCTCTGCGACTCGCTGCCAATCAATGGACTATCGCTGGGCACATACACATGCGCGAGCAGCACCCGCGGCACCAGCGACTGGTAGGCGCGTGTCGCGTCCGCCAGCAGCTTCAGCAATGTGGCGCGCGACAGCGTCGGCTTGTTGTGGTTGTGTGCACTGGTCGGTATATGCCAGGTGCAGCAGCAGGGCTCGTACTTTTCCGCGCTGCAGGCCGTCGAGCCACCTGACTTCTTCAAGCTGGGAATTGTGTCCTGCAACGATAATGAGAGCATGTTTAGTAGAAAGCATTGACTAGGAGATAATCCCATGATGTCCATGATAGGCATGTTCGACTAGAAGATACCCTGGCACGGACTTCAGTCGGGTTACACCCTCCCTCTGCCCCAGCTACTCGCACATTGAATGTTTGAACTTACGTCCTCTTCGGGATTCGCCATGCATCCGGCTGTTGTGCCTGTTGGCGGTTGATCGGGCAGCAGGAGCTCTGCAGCCGAGCTCTGCTGCGGCTGATCCGGCACATTGGCGGTGTAATGACAGCAGGGCTGCACCAGTGCCAGCAGCAGCTCCTTGAGCACGGCAATGGAGGACTGCACGGTTGGATCATCGATCAAGTCGGCTTTGGGTGTGGTTTCCTTCTGGGTTGCGTTCGATGCGCCTGATGTGCTCGGCTGCTGGCCAAATTTGGACTTGACCATGACGCGGCCATCTTCAATCAGACTGCTGCTGCTACTCGCATTGATCATATACTCGCCCTTGAGCGTCTCCTTGGCGGCGGCCACGAAGATCTTGGGGTCGCGCGACACCGCTGTCGAGACCTGGGTGAGCACATAGATGAGGTCACGATGGCCCACTGGGACAATGCCAGCGGCTCGCATGCCCAGCACACGCTCCATGGCTTCCTGCAGCACGGGCGGCGCCTCCAGGACGTGACGCATTATGATGATCGCATAGGTGGGAAAGCCCATGAAGCTGCACGATTGCTGCAAGTGGAGCAGCATGTGGACACCGCCGCAGCGTATGAACACCTGGGCGTTATCGAAATTCCGGGTCAGTCGCGCGCACAGGCGCAGCAGCGACAGCTTCGTCTCGTGGTGCAGCAGCTGCGGCGTCTGCAGCAATGCCACAACGCTGGTAATGATGCGGCCGCAGTCGAACTTGCTCAGGCCGACGTTCTCCTCGTTGAGCACAATCTTCAGTGTGCGCTTGGGTATGCCCGTCATCGAGGAGGCCGAGTGGCCGGTGTTGGTGGTGGTGTGGCTGCCGCCGCCGCCGCCGCCGCCGCTGCTGCTGCTGCTGCTGCTGCTGCTGCTACTGCTGTTGGCAGCGGCAGCTGCTGCGGCCTTGGCCTTGGCTGCAGCCGCAGCGCTCTTCTGGCGCGACTTGCTGCGCGTTGTCATGGCCGGTGGTGGCGATTGGTTGCCACTATTCAAGTCATCTTGGGTTGCTGACGCTCCTGCCGCCTCCTCTTCGGCCTTCCTCTGCTGCCTCAGCAACGCAGACGGAGCTGGCGGTGGCGGCGGCGGCGGCGGAGCCAATGGCTCATTGAAGTTGATCAGCTGGCGCAGCGGCACCAGCTCGTCGGTCTGTATGGTGCCATTGCCGTCGGGCGATGTGCGCACCACACGATTCAGTATGTTATCAATCTTGTGGGATGCAATGGGATTCTGCAGCTGGCTGATCACCTCGCACATCTTCAGTGCCGGATAGACGGGCCGATGGCTGCCGGACGCATCGCTCACCTGGGTCATGCAGTTGAAGCTAACGGTGCACCGCTGACGGCCAATATTGATGTGCAGCCAGCGTTCGCCAGCGGCATAGGCGCTGCGTATGAGCTCATTGTTGGCCTCCGAGTAGGCATTCCACTTGCCGGTCGAGGCGTCGTACCAACGCCACAGGTCACTGCTGACCGCACGCATGTTCGACTTGCGCTGCAGTATGTGACTGATGCTATCGATGGCATCGATGAGATCGACCAGATTCTGCACCCAGCGCGGCACCGAGGAGCGCGCCTGTCCCTCGGGCAGCTGGGCCTGCTCCAGCATCCACTGGCTCATGCAGTCGAGCAGCTTCACCAGAGACACCATGGCGTCCTGTGCAGTGATGGCCTCCACCAGCGGACGATGCATATCGCTGTAGTTCTCCTCCAGCAGCAGCGTGGACGTCTTTAGGCGCACGAATAGACGTGTGGCCGTCATTCCACTCAAGCACTCCTCCAGGCGACTGGCTTTCGGTGACGGCTTGCTGCCGGCTGGTGAACCCGCTGCGCCTGCGCCTGCGCCTGTTACCGGCTCGAACAGCTGCAGGGTGAAGTCCACCCACTGGATGATGTTGCGCACAAAGTTGGTGACAAACACCTGGCGATTCAGCTGATTGAGGCGTCTGTAGAGCACGGCTATCAGATCTGCCGCACTGTTCACGGTGTCCGGTATGGCCTCCATGAACTCAAAGGCGCGCGACACGGCCTCGTCACAGAACCGATCGAATACATAGGGTGGCATCAGTTTCAGTTGCCTGTAGTCATAGCCGGTTGAGCTGGGCGGCGGCGGCGGCTTGACCGCCGATTGGGATGAACTAGCTCCAATTGTGGCGGCAACTCCATCAGTGGTTACGCCGCCGGCACTTGTGGTCGAGCTGGATGTGGATGCGTTCGCACCACCACCGCTGCTCGGCCCCTCCATATCGATGTCCATGTCACCGGCAGCAGCAGCTGCATTCGATGCCGAGCTGCCCTGTGACAGGCTTTGAGTAGATCCAGCGCCAGTTGTTGTTGTAGCACCACTACCAGTGGCTGTTCCGGTGCCCGTATTAGCACCGGCTCCAGTTTGTCCTTGGGCCGATTGTGTGAGGGCGCTTGCCTCCGGATTGTTCAGCAGATAGTCTGTGGCCTCCTCCAGCGAGGTATTGCTGCGCAGCGCTTCGATAATGTGATAATGACGGAAGCCCATGTCCGTCAGTGTCTTGATGTGTTCAGCATTGAGGCCGTCGTCTGTGCTGCGTATATAGAGATTCTCGAACTTGATCTCCTTCATGCGCGTATGGTAACGGTCGAGCAGCATCTGATGTGACTTTATCAAGTGCTTCAGTATCAAGAGCATCGTCTCGAACATGCTGGTGCCGTAGTTCTGTATGGGACGGCGGCACCAGATGCGCCGCAATGCCTGCATGGCCAGCTGATGGATGTGAATCAGATAGAAGACCGGCTCGAAGGGCACACTGTCGGCCATGTAGTTGAAGCGTGGACTCATCGTGTACGGTGAGTCGAGCATTGCGCGTGGATTCACCATCTTCTCGAGCAACTGCAGCCAGGCATCCAGGAACTCGCCAGTGCCCTCGGGGCAGTCGCGTTTATCATCCTCATGCGTCTGCATCAGATCATCCATTGGTGCCCATTGATCGAATTCGAACTTCTGCGAAACGTTGTCCAGCGACAGGGCCCAGTAGAACATCTCGAAGAACGCCTTCAGGCCGTTCTCGGCGCAAAACTGTGAGATCATCAAGTGGAAGGCGCTGCGCTTATCATCGAACAGCATCGGGCCGGTGAATCCGACCGAGCAGATGAGAAAGGTCAGCTTCAGTTTGGGCACCGGCTTGGGCAATATGCTCTCATGACTGAATCCATTCACCAATATGGAGCTGAGGATGCGAGCGATTTCGCGCGCCTCCGGCGTAGGAACTTTGTTAATGTTACTAATGAGGTCATTGATGCGACGTTGACGTGCCTGCGGTGAGCCCACCGATAGCTTCACCAGAGTGCCCAGCAGCTCAGCCAGGGCACGGCCCAGACGCGAACTGGCCGCCAGCAGCGATTTGATATAGCGGAATTGCTCTTCGGGTGTGTATTTGGTACGGAATTCGGCAGCGCGCTCCAATTTGCGTGACAATTCGGCTTCGGTCATTGGATCCGCGGTGCCGGCAGCAGCGGACATTTGTGCAGCAATCTCATCCCATATGAGATCCGGATGCTGGGTGGGCTCATCCGAGCACAGATTCAACAATATTGTGCTCTCCCACACCAGCGATATGTACAGCTGGACCAGTTGCTGCAGCAGCTGCACGCCCGTCTCACGATTGGCGCCCCAACGCTTGAGCAGCACAGTGCGCATTTCGGTGGACGCATTGCGGCAGAGATGCACCAGCATCACCACATAGCCATGCACAAAGCTCATGTTGTGCAATATGGGCGTGTATTCGGCATTGGCAAATCCATCCTCCAGCCGCTGGCAGCAGACGAGCTCCGCCAGCAGCACGCTGCCGCCCGGAAATGTGAAGTGCTTGATCAACGGTTTCAATTTGGCCACAATGTCGGCCAGCTGCTTGAGTGCCACGTCCAATACTTTTGTCTCCTGCGCCTGGCTCAAGATCGCCTTGCAGACGTTCGCCACAGCCTGGGATGTGGTCGACACTGGTGAGTCCACTGGCAAATTGGGCAGCGAGAGCAGCTGCAGTATCGGCTTAAGGCCATCCTTTTGCACAAATTCACGGCAGTGATCGCCATTTGGGCTGTTGCTGAAGATCGCCTCGATAAACTTCATAACATTCAGTATGTAATCGATGAGCGGTATGGCCTCGCGTTCGGGCTGCTGTGGTTGTTGTTGTTGCTGCGGCTGCTGCTGCTGCTGCTGTGGTTGTTGTTGCTGTGATTGCTGTGGCAACAGTTGCTGCTGTTGCTGCTGTGATTGCGGTTGCTGTTGACGATTGGCCACCATGGGCGACTGTTGAGCGCTGGCATGTGTTTGTTGTTGTTGCTGCTGCTGCTGTTGTTGTTGTTGCTGCTGCTGCTGCTGCTGAGATGCCGAGCTCATCTCCTCGTCGTCATCATCATCGTCGCCGCTGCTGTCATTATTATCGGTGGCGCTCTGCAGTGCTGGCCCAGCTGCCACCATGACCATAGCCGATGGCGATGGCGTTGACGGTGCCGTGACGTGAGCGGCGCTAGTGACACTGTTCTCCTTGTTGGCGCGCCAGCATATGAAGCTGGGATCAGAGCCAAGGCGTACCAGTTCGTTGAGCAAACGTACAATCGCCTCGGTGGCATCGGCACGCAAGTAGGGATGGTGCTTGATCAGATCGTCCATGGCGTTGCCCAAATTGGTGGCCGTATCGCCCAAAGGATCCGAGCTGCGACGGCGTCGCATGGCCACCAAATAGTCCGGTGAGAGCAGCACGCGTAGCACCTTATCGAACGGATCGTACGATAGAAACTCAAAGAGGCCGCGTTCATTCAGGCACAGCGCCGAGAACACATTCGGCAGAGAGCCGAGAACCTCGCGTGTTGCCGGCACATCCTTCTGCAGGAGCGCCTTCAGCATCACACTGGTGATGCCCAAGTCCTGCAGCGATGACAACAGCGATGGCTCATTGAATACGTAGACGGTGACCACATCGGTGGCCAGCAAAAACAGTGATGGTCCGTAATACTCGGCATTGGCGATGATGTGACGCAACGACTGAGTCAGGCTAGTCTCCATAATGTTGCGCATATTGCTGAAGTGGGCATGATCCTGAATGCTCTTCTTTAAGAAGTTCAGCATTGACTTCAACAGCGCCGCCCGCTGGGTCACACACGACGGCTTCTTTGGCTGCAAGCTGCTGCGCAGCTGTGACGACAGCTCGGCCTTGCGCTCGGCCAGTGGTCGAGCATAGTAGCTATTTGCCGGATACTGTACAGGTCGTTCGCGAGCAACTGCATCGCTGCTGCTGCTGCTGGCCGCTGCGGCCAGGCTGCTCAGCGCATGTATGCCTGAGCTGCGGGAGCCAATCTCCAGCCAACTGGCTGGTGTCCCAGCGCCAGCAGCACGCGGATGATCACCGCCGCTGTGCTCCATGTAGACGCGATAGGCACGCTGGGCATTATCACTGGCACTGCCGCTGCCATCGCTGCTCGAATTATCGCGACGCGGAGAACCACTGCCACTGGCCACAGATGCATTCTCTGTGGCAGCATCTGAAATCGGGAGAACACCTTAGCGCCTTGCAGTCAAATGGGGGCAATGATTTAGGCAACTTACCATCATCATCGGCATGCTCCAAAGAGCCGTCGAGTTTATCTGTGGAGTTGCTCTCGTCCCGCAGAGTTGACTCCTTCAGTGTGATGCCGATTTCGGCTAGGGCACGGCAACAGCTTTTGATCTCCTTCTCGAGGCGGTCAATGAAGACATTGAGGCCGTTGTTCTGGTGAAAGCGTGCAATGTCAATGTTGGTAATCAGATCAATAACGCGCACGGCGCGGGTCACAAATGTGATGTGCTCCAGATCAACACCCGGCCAGCTAATGACGCGCAACAGCGACTGCATCATGCCGCTCTTGACGAGCGCCGAGCCGCCCAGCTCATAGCTGGCCAGATGGTAAAGCAACGAGAATAGCGAGGTGGCCAAGATCAATGGATAGCGATCTGTCAAGCCGTGTGTGGTCAAATTATCAATGCAATCGCGCACTAGCAAAGGCAATGTGCCGCCTTGTCGCTCAGCGCCCGTATAATGCACGATTTTCATCAAACGGGAGCCAGCTCTGAAATGAGTAAAGATCATGGCCAAATGATTAAGTGATTCTCTACAATTCAGATTCTCTATCGCTCGTTGTCTTACCTGGGCACACTGGGATTACGATCAAAGTGGAGCATTGATGTTAGAGTACGCAGCACAGCGGCACGTATTTCCACCAAATGCACATCTTCTTTATCAATCAGTTCGCATAGCTCCTCTCCGAAGCCAGGGTAGAGCACTTTATCTGTGTTATCCTGCAGTGCGTTCGAATATATCAGTATCGATACAGCCTGCAGGCGCGCCTGCACAAATTGCAAACGCAACTTGTAATTGTTAAAGCCAGAAATGAGACGCACTCGATGAGCGATGCGCATCTGTGAAAGGGGAAAATTAATCACTTGCAAAATGCATCATACAATGAGCAATAGCAATTCCAATTGCAATTGCAATCAGAACATACCTTAATGGCCTCACTGGGCTTTGAGATCTGTCCGGCAATGATTTTGATAACTTCTGGGGCATCCGCTGTCTGGCAGAGATCCATCATGTCTGGTATTTCCAGCTGTGCAGCATGGCCATTCTCATCGACATAGTCAATGCACAACTGATAAAGGAACTCGAGCTTTGGCTCGCCAATGCAGCAGTCCTTTAGGGATAGTCCGTAGTTTGGATCGCCCCAACGCTGCAAAGTTCGTGAAACACATAAGATCAGTATATTTGGCAAAATCAGATCGATCAAATTACTAAATAATGCTTACCTCGGCGATATTGAACAGTTTGACAATAAGCAATTCCTTCTTCTCAAACGGCAAGCGTGGAATGAAATTGCTTCGCTTGGAGAACATGTACAGTAAATTGAGCACGGCCAACACAATGTCCATGTTCTGTGATGACAAAAGCTGCGTCAGGTGCTCAATTGAATTGTACAAATGACGAGAGAACGAGTGCTCGATGAGCAATGTTGTGAAATTGAGTACGTGCAGCAGCAAAGTAACATCCTGGGAAAGTTAGACAATTGGATAGATCAAACATATATACCTAGACATTAACGTTTTCATTTGTCTCTAACAATCTTAAAGACTTACCGATTCGACGAATGTTGTATCACACTGCAGCACAAACTCATTGGCATTCACATGGCGAGCCGCCTCTTCGAGTATTTTGTCGAAGCGATCCAATATTTCAATCCAATGATATAATTCACATTTTCCGTATATCCAAACATGCACTGTATCCAAAAATTCTAGCAATTCGGGACGAGTGCGTCGTTTGGTCAATTCATCAATCAATTCGCGACATTCTGAAGTCAGCTCCGAAGAGCCTTTCTTCAGTTTAACGGTATCAACCTTCATGGCTGACGCCTGCGGCTGCGTTAGCTGCCGACGCCGCCTTGTGAAAGTTCTTGGTTCAGTCAAGTTGTTGTGTTTCTTCCTTGGTTTGTTATTCTTTTCAATATTATTAATCCGTAATTATAATCTTTTTAAAATTATGTGTTTCGTTTATCCTCCAATAGCATAGAGTTTTTCAAATTTTATTCGTCAAAGTCTTCAATAAACTGAAAAAAGTCAGGAATTAATTTTTGACACAATTGACAAGTGAATGTTTTCACAACACTGCAATAGTTTTACTAAACGACAAAAAAAAAAAAAAAAATATTTCAAACGGAGAACAGAATATAAAAATTCGGTTTAATTCCGTAAAATTCCGAGTACTTCACTTGAGGCACGCACTTTTAACACTGAAACAATACAGAACTTCTTCCGACAATAAATAAAACAGGAATGAACAAAAAAAAAAAAAAAAAATTAGAACTGTCAGTGAGTTCCGAGTAAATGAAATGAATGCCAAACTAACAGAGCTTTCGTCGTTTTCAGTTTTCAGTTGTCAGCTGTGGCGCCGATGCGAAAACGACGACGACGTCGCTGTCGCCACCGATGATTCGTCTTCAATTTGCTTGCTGCTTACTTGTAACAATAACACAGACTTAACTTGCAATTAAACGTGAATTTCAGCAAGCACAAAAAAAAAACATAAAAAAATGAACACATGTGTTTACGAGTGCAAACGATTGGTGTACTACCTTCACTTTGAGATGACAAATGTATTAAATTTTACAATTTAGGATTTGTAATATATGAATTGCTTTTACAACCTGCCGATGCACAATGAGAGTGTTATCGATAAACGTCAGCTGTTTTATATACAAACTTACATCAATCAAGAGCAGCACAAACCTGGCCCCACTTGCTACATATATATATATACCCACACACACACACATATGCGTGCGGGTGTGAGTAAGTGTATGTCTGCGTATAAATTTTATGTTTTTCGTAGCACTTTAACAATTTAAAATGATCTATGCACTTTTGAGAATCAATAAATAGCGGCTTCCCGTTAAGTTGCCAAACACAGTTTTTTCGCGTAGCTTGCACTAATTTCACAAATTGAAAGGTCTTGGTACACGCATCACTTAGAAGCAGATAGCAGACGCTAAATAATAAGAAGAACGTATGCGGCAGGCCTTACAATGTTAACCGCAGCTTGTTTGTGATTTCTATTAATTTACGTTGCCGATATCACTGCAGCAAGTCTTAGGTGTCGACGTTGTCTGCTGTTATTGTAGACGTCGCCGCGGTCGCTGCCGCAGCAGCTGCAACCACAACAGAAAGCGAATTCGCCGAAAAAGAGCAGCAACAAATGTATGCGTATTTGAACGTGTGTTTGTGTTTGAATACATGTACACATACATATGCATATGTACGTTCGAATATATATATATGCATGTGTGTGCGAGATTGCTTGTGAAGATGTATTGTTCGAAAGCCAATGGCACATTGAGACAGCTATGGGCAACAATATTTGGTTGTTGCATTTTAAGCTATGGCAACAAATGCTTTTTTGTTCGAACATATCAACACATAAATCTGTAGTCTGCTGCACGCACATGCATACATATTTGTATGTATATAGATATACATATATTTATATATAATAAGCATTTTGCAAAAGCAATCCGCGCACCATAGTTTACCTGCTCAATTTTTAATTCTTAACACATTTAATGGTCCTGTACGTATTTTTTTCACCGAAACCAATCACACAAACTCTCGTACGCACGACGGCAAATTTTGTAGCACGAAGTGAAAAAAATGGAATGAATATCCAAATTCCGAAGTAATGTCAAAATCGTTTAGACACAAAAAAAAAAGTGTAACAAAATGAACAAAATGAAAAAAAAAAAAAAAAAAATGATTGCCACAGGCCACACAATGCACCTAGCATGTGTGAAGGAAATTGCATTTAAGTAAAAAACGAATGGTCAATACTCACATTTACATTAAACCGCAGCATATTGCTGCTATTATTGTTATCTTATATTCAATCTAAAAACGTTCTTATTTGGTTCGACAATTGTAATTTCAGTTCGTTAAATTTCCTCAGCACGCACTTATTCACTTATACTTTAGAAACAACACTATCTCTGTCAAAAGCAGCTTGTGAACAATTGTGGTTCAATTGTTGGAGCTACTACAGTGCGAACAAAAATCTTTCGCTCACAAAGCGCAGTTGTTCGTTTGAATGTGAGTGTCAATATGTTCGTTCGTCTTCGGTAAAGCTTGGTATGGAATTGTACGGACTTTGTGCTTACCCGTAAATATGTTAACTTTTTTCCAAAAAACTTAAAATATTATAAGAGATGATTTTTGGACTTATGCGTAATTTAAATTCTCGTTAAAATGGTAAATTTGACTCGACAACTAAAGCTTAAAGAAGTATATATAGCTGTTACAATTTTGGATGTGTTAAAATAAAATTTATACATATTAACCAAAAAGCAAATAAAAAATGATAGAAACTTACAAATTTTTATATAATATTTTGAATGTAGCACTTGGTTCCGTTCTTCTGAGTTCGCCAATTCAACCAAAACAACAAAAATAAACGACTATACTATGCAACACTGCCTTTAAACGCACTGATAGCAGCACTGTATGGTAAAAATGCTTAAATTTGTATCGATAATAATAACACGATATAATAACATAATTGTTACGAGCTCAAATTTGTTTAGCCGAAATAGTATTTGAGTTACAGTCGGTAAAATCAAGACCTACTTTTCGTAATTTTGTTAACAGTTAAATCAGCCACATATGTATATGAAAATATATTTTGAAGTTTTTTTACAGGCAGAAAGAAAGCCTGACCAGTAAAATTTAAATATTTCGTATGACATTTTTTAAAATGAACTATTCAAATAACAAATGATTATTCAAGAAATTTAAGTTTTTCCACCTATGCACAGATGTGTTTATTATATTCTAAATTAATTATTAGCTATAATTAAAATACATATATTTGGCTTGAGTTTCTTAAAAATATTTTATGAACTAAATATAATTAAAAATAAAAATAGATTTAAATACATAAACAACAATCTTAAATGCAATGATTTATAGATTTGGAGTGGTCTTTTTGTTGGACTGCTAAAAGCTATGCAAATGCGTCGTACTGACTGCTTCGCTACTTTGTCCAGTCTCTGCCTCAAAGAGGACTTGCTGTATGCGCAGCTTGGCCACGGACCGGGCATATGGATCGACTATCGACCTTAATTGTGAGGCAATACTTTGGCCAAAGGCAAACAGATCATCATCACTGCCAGAAAAGCTCAAGTTTGGATTTCCATTTGTGGTCAATTCCAAATGTTGTGATGGTGATGGCGACGGAAAGGGCGTTGCTAGTCTCTGTGACTGTTGTTGTTGGCTTTGCCCATAGTTCATATATTTTAATTTACGCGGCAACGTTTGCTGTTGCTGCTGCTGACTCTGCTGTTGTTGTTGCTGCTGCTGTTGTTGCTGCTGTTCCATAAGGCACAGCTGCGAGTCATCAATGATGAGTTCACTTTTATTTGGCGGCGTGCGTATAGAGTGTGTCGAGCAGATGCTCTGCAGATCGTCCGTTTGACTGCTTGCGTTTGGAGGTATATGGGTATTAGTGCCTGTGGTCATAGTCTTTTTAGCGTGCTCATCCACATCCGTATGAAATACATCATCCATATGACCATTCGATTCCAGCTCATCCGCATGATGATCCTCAGTCTGATGTTGTTGCTCCTGCTGCTGTACTGCATCTTCAATTATCTGACTAGCGGCACTGAGCACCATTTTCTGTGGTGTTTCCTTTTTGATGGCTACTTTTGAATCTTTGCTCTTAACCTGTTACAAGATTTACTGATTATAGGTCCATATACAACAATACAAACAAAACAATTATAGGACAACTTACGCGTTTGCAATGGGACAGCGAAACGGAGCGCAGAAATGCATCTGCGCGCTTGAACCAAAATAGTTTTGGTTCGTAGCATCGACCCATCTCCTTTTCTCGCATTAATATTCGTAATTCCTTTGTGTAAACGGTTCGTACGCTTTTGATTTTCAATTTAATATCGAGGACTGTCAATTGCGGTATTTTCAATGTTCTAATTATCGCTTCGTATGCTTCTTCGCGGGCCACACGATTCTTATAGGTGTCCAATAGTGAATTGTAGAGGCATGGTTGGCGTTTGTATGCGTCGAGGAATTCAGTAATAGGTATTTTTGTTTCGCCTATTTTCGCCATCGTTTCGTTTGTTTGTTTAATAACAATAATAGCTAATTATGTGTATGTGTATATGGTTTGGTTGTTTACACTACTTTAGAGATGGTTCAGCATCAGCTGGGCTTCGCGATTTGCTCATCTTTTATTTACATACAGCAACTATCGTTATCATCTATCGGCATTGTTAATAGTTTAACCGACAGATGTCGCTAATTTGGGATTGTATCCTCGCTAATCCTAACAATTTATCGATTAGTGTGCACTTGTTCGTAGCAATGCACTATGTATACGTTATCTTATTGTAAACATGCTGCGATATGACATAACAGGTGCACGAGCACATGTAACAAATACATACATATGTAGGAAGCAGAGAAACAGCCTAAAAGATATAAAGCTTACATTAGCAGGTGCACGTGTGCATCAAACGCTCATCTCTAATGTAGTGTATTGTAGTTGTACTCCAATCAGAACTTGCCGGCTAAGCAATTAAAATTTCTTTTTTATGCTGCCCAAACCAAAAAAGTACATCAACTGTCTGCGGGAACACTTCAGTCTGAATACGTTCAAGCCGCTCCAATGGCAGATAATACGTGCATTGATTGCCCAGCCTCGTGGCAGCGATGTGTGCGCAGTGATAGCCACCGGCTATGGCAAATCGTTGAGCTATCAGTTTCCAGCCTTTTACTTAAATAAGGTGGTTGTGGTTATATCGCCGCTGATTGCATTGATGGAAGATCAAGTAAACGCACTGAACGAGAGATCCAAGACTGGGCCATGTGCCTGCCTGCTGGGCACTGCGCAGGAGGATCGGACGATCAAAGAGCGCATTCTGGCGCTTCAGTTCAAATTGGT